GGCCTTGCCCTTTCTGTTCCACAGTATATCCATAGAGTGCTAATTTGATATCTTGTTTCCTTTCAGGTGGGTATGGAACTTTGGAGGAGTTATTGGAAGTGATAACTTGGGCTCAGCTGGGTATCCATGACAAGCCTGTAAGCGAAACCTGCATAGCGTTCTTGTTTCCATTGTCGAGAAAAAAGCAGTACTTTTGTGGGTCCTCTCTTTTGAAACCTACCTTTTTGTTTCCAAAACTGTGCAGGTGGGTTTGCTTAATGTTGATGGCTATTATAATTATCTACTTACTTTCATCGACAAAGCCGTGGATGATGGCTTTATCAAACCTTCCCAACGCCACATCATTGTCTCTGCACCAAATGCCAAAGAACTGGTTCAGAAGCTTGAGGTAGGTTATTGCCTAAATATAACTGGGATTGGCTCATTTTTGTCATCAAACGTTTGTTCACTCACAAACAATTCAAGGCTCATATATGAAATAGACAATGTGGAGGCTTAGAAAACAGGAATCTTTGTCAGATTACTATCTTGGTTTTCTTATTTTCTCGTGTCTTGTTTGCTTGCAAATGATGGCACTGTTTTGTTTTGATTAGGAGTACGTGCCTGTGCATGATGGAGTCATAGCCAAGGCAAGTTGGGAGGTTGAGAAGCAGCAACAAGCCCCACAACCAGGTGGGGTTCAATGCCAATACTTTGCAGACTGAGATCACTCTCTAGATGGAGAGACATAAAAATGGAAAAGATAGAGAAAAAAGAAAAAAGGTGTTTTAGGCTCTTAGTGTTTTACTCTGATTTTTGGGTCATGTACCAACCATGCCATAAGGATCTGGTAAGGTTTGAATGACAAGAAGATAAAGAACAAGACAAGTGACAAAAGTGGGTCTTTTTTGGTATTAAAAGAGCCAAGCTAAACTCATTTGCTTGAGCATTTAAGTTCATATTTTGGACTTTGGTATTGTACAAATATTATATATATGTAAAGGACAAGAAAATCCAAAAAGTAGCAGCTCTATTATGTATGTATGTCATCTGTCCATGAGCAAGAGCATGCATTACTTTGCTGATAGTTCTATTAATTGTTCTCCTTTTGTTCTGTCTTTTAAGGTACTGTTACGGTGAGTGATGATTATGCATTTGCATCATTTGAGGACCTTAAAAGTTAAAACTTGAAATTATGGTTGTGGGGCTTGGTTTTGATCAAGCTGAAGCCCTTCCAACTGGATGACGTGAGGTCTCCTTTTTACAAATTTGAGTTTAGGAGCACATTGCTGCCACAGGAACAGGGAATTTTTGAAGTGTAGCTGGACACTGGAGGCTGTCTTGTTATCTACTGCTGTAACAACTGTGGTGAGATAGAGAGAGAAAGCATAGACAATGATGGATAATTTTTTGCAGAAAACCAGCTTCTTCCAATGGGCAAGTCGAAGTGACTTGCCTTTTGCCTAATGTTATCTGCCTGTAATTTCAACGCTTTTGCTGTACAATAAGTTAAAAACTTTTGAGAAACGCTGCTGATGAGGAGTTTCTTGGCCTTTGGTTTGGATGGGACTTTGCTAGAACGTAAATGGAAAGTTTCATATGTTTTCTTCTGATGTGATAGCTTCTCCACATTTCTAGCATGTAATTGTTGCTACTTAATAGCCTTAGTCCTCCAAGCTTGTAGAATCAAGACCAATGTTTTTTCCCATGATTTTGATGCTTACTTTTCGCAAAGAATAGTTCAACTCTAGCAAGGGCAAGTTAATTTTTTTTTTTTAAGTTATAAAAAAACTTTGAATTTTAATTAAAAAATTTAGCTAAATTTCTATTTTTATTGTATGTAATCAATTTTTTTAATGTTTATTTATATATAATTAAATATTTATTTGAATATGTTACTTTTTTATCAATTAAAATAAAATTTTATGTTATTTAAAAAAATAAATTTTCATATGATATTAATAAAATAAATAAAAACTTATCACTTGAGGTAATTAATATATATAAAAATTAAATAAAACAAAAGTTTTTTTCTTCTCCATTTTTCCCTCTTTTTCTCTAAAATTTCTAATGTTCAATTGATTGTAGTTTAAAAATTAATTGATTCAATATTATCATGAAATTAAATTTTATTTAATTAAAATAAAAAAATTAAAAATTTGATTAATTATAATAAAATATTAAAATCGGGTTCAAATGATTTTTAATTAAAATTTAAGGATATTTTTTACCTTTTAACCTTTTTTATTATTTTTTAACAAAAAAAAGTATATAGCTTGAAGATAAAAATAATGTTGCAGATATTAAAATTTATGAATCATTTAAATCTGATTATATCTTATATAAATCAATTAATTTAAATCTTGAATTTCGAAAAAAATTTGTGTAATAATTTTGAAATTTTAGGAGAAAATTTAGGATGTAAACAACAGATGTGGGGTGACATCAATTAATTTATTTATTATAGTAATTGGTTATTCAATGTTGGCATTAGTAAAGCTATCGAAGAAGGAACAACTAATTAAAGGTTATTAATCATTGGGCCCGCAGCCCTAAAAAGCTTACCAACAAGAATGGACTCTGGGCCTGATATGCAATTCAACCTTGTTTTCTCAATAATAATCGGATAAAGGATGCCAAGCTTTAAGCCAACTCATAATCAGTTTAATCATTAAGACATGCTTTTAGGCCAACTCAGAAACCCTAACATCAACCGAACTTTTTTTTTTTTTTTTTTTTTTCAGACGATGGCTGCGATTGGCTTTTCTTGTCTCTACCTAATAATTATACTGATTATTTTTTCGTCTATAAAAAAATATTTTACATCAGTAAATTGATCAAATATTCTCTCTGTATTTTTTTTAATATTCAAAATTTTTAATTTTTTATATATTAAAATCAAGAATTTTTTAAAATTTTCAAATCTTTGTTCATGAAATGAAATGAACTGCTGATAAAACTTTTGTTGTTCATAATAAAAATTTGCAGTAGCTCTTGAAGAAAAGTGAAACCGTGTTATACTTACCACTGAATGAACTTCCTGGGAAAAGTATTAAAACATGAAGCCAAAGCTTTGAAAAATTCTTGAAAATTGCTGCGAAACCTACCATTGTATGCTTGTAATAGTTTTGCCTCATCAAAGCACCGTCTAAAAATAAAGACATTATTATTGTTTACCCAAAGAACATTTCTTTACTATATAATATATTCCCTCGTCTCAATTTGTTTAGATGATATTAATTTTTATGAAATTTAACAAAAATTAATTTTAATGTATTTAATATTAAAATTAAAATTTTTTATAAAATTAAATTTCATTAATATCGAAAAATAAAAAAAAATTAAAATATAAAAAGAAAGATTTTTAGATATTAAAAAAAAGGACAAAAAAAAAATGTCATTTACCGAATAAAGGAAAAAGACTTCTTGGCGTTTCCTGCAAAGGCATCTCAGTCAAAGCATATCCATCAAAGCCACGAAGCTCGTTTCCTTTTAAACAAACTTATAATAATGAGACTAATAGGTGAGAAAAAAGGAATTAGTAAAATAAATACTATGAGTCAAAATATGCTAAATTTTTTTTTTTTTGAGACTTAATTAAGTCAATTCATCGTTCCTTTCTTTATAAAATTATTTAATGTATTTATAATTTATTTTTTATTTTCAAATTAGGATAAATTTTATAAAAAATTAAGATAAAGATAGTCATATTGCTCCTATTTAAGGATTAATTTACATCTTCCCATTGGATGGAATCATCAAATCAAAAGTTTAGTAATTGTTTGAGGTATAAATCGTGGTGGTAGTTCGATAGTAATTTCTATTTTATATATTAATCAAAAGAATTACGGCTAACATGATTTTTTATCTTATATTAATTTTTTAGGATCATATTTTAAGATATGTATAGTTGAAAAAATATATATATTTTTTAGATTTATTGAATAATATCTTTTAAAATAATTATATGAATTAATTGAATTAAATTTTAAATTTTAAATTTAATTTTTAATCAATTAATTAGTCACAAAATTAAATTGTAGTTTCATCAATATAGCAATACGATATTAATGTTTGATGTAGGATTAGTTCTTCTAGCCTTTTTTGGTTTAGTTTTTCTCTTGAGATGGGCCTTACTTTCAAGTGTTCTAAGCAAAGTACAGTGCTTCATTCATGCTTTGTAGTTTCTTATTTTGTGAGTTTTACTTATCTGCTTAGAATTTTTATGTGGAAAACGCATCCCAAGCACTCAAAGCAAGTTTCAATATGTGATTTGAAAAAAAAAAAAAAAAAACCATAGGCAATAGAACCAGAGCAGAACAATTCTGTTGTACTGAAACTTGCCATTACTGTAGGTGTAGCTCTAAACGAAAAGCCAAAAGCCCTGCATTTCTTCTTAATTGAAAAATAAAATTATGATATTCCAATATACCATTGAGAGATTATAAAGATCTATTATAATATATAAGTAAAAAATAAAATTTAAATTTAAAAAATATATTTTTATAAAATAAAATTAAAAATTTTTAAATTAAAATAAATAATATTTCACAAATTTGATGCGGTAATTATGAACTGTTGGATGGTAATTAATAGTTATGACCAATTCAAATAAAGCTAATGACAGGATTGGAACGACTAAGAGACTTGCTGACTACTGGTTTCTTTTAGAAACTTGAATCTGCAATCTTAGTTCATTTGTTCAAAGATCAAATTACGTGACAGAAATTTACCTGGAAAAACCTCGGCATACCTTGGAATTTCCAAGTGAATGACCTCGGGATACCTTGGAATTTTCAAGTGAATGACCACAAACAAAAGAACTCGCAGATCAAGTCGTTGTCCACCTAGCTCAGCCTCTCACTGGAATATTAGCCACTGCTGACTTTATTGTGTTTAAGCGTGTGGGTTCCACCGTTTTGGAAAGACCTCAATCCCCTTTCTTGCAGATGCTTCTAATCTTTCACGACTTCTTGGGTGCTGACTTGGTCTTTTCCCTCCTATTAATCACTGTTCAAACATTTATAAATATGTCTCAAACCAAGCTGAAACCCTGAAAAATAAGTAACTATAGCTGTATTGAGTATAGCCATACTAAACACTATGAGCAGCCAATCCAATATGGATGATACCACCCCCAAGATTGAACTTCCAGGCTTCAGATTCCATCCTACCGAGGAAGAACTCCTCAATTTTTACCTCAGAAACATGATCTATGGCAAGAAGTTGGGTTATGATATAATTGGATTTCTCAACATCTATCACCATGATCCCTGGGACTTGCCTGGTACGTATGATTTCATTTGTTTGTTTAATGGTATAGGCAGCTAATATGATTGGTTATGCTTAACATGTTTTTGTTTATTAATGTTTTACAGGATTGTCAAAGATTGGAGAGAGGGAGTGGTATTTCTTTGTGCCTAGAGACAGGAAGCATGGCAATGGAGGGAGGCCTAACAGGACTACTGAAAATGGGTTCTGGAAAGCCACTGGTTCTGACCGGAAAATTGTGAGCTTATCTGATCCAAAGCGGATAATTGGCCTGAAAAAGACTCTTGTTTTCTATAAGGGGAGAGCGCCACGAGGAAGCAAGACTGATTGGGTCATGAACGAGTATCGTCTCCCAGATGGTTGCTCCTTGCCTAAGGTATCTTGTTCATTTTCCAAGTCAATCTACATTATCAGGGGATTACTAAAAAAGACATTTTATTCTAATGGTAATGTCATTGTCATTTTATTCTCTGAAATGTACAGACATTTTTTTCTGATTTTTTGTATGATTGATGAATGCAGGACATAGTTCTGTGCAAGATATACAGGAAGGCAACATCCTTGAAAGTCCTGGAGCAAAGGGCAGCACTGGAGGAAGAGTTGAAGGCAATGAACAACACATCTCCTTCATCTCCACTGTCATCCTTGGAGGCCATCTCTCACAGCAGCCCAAAAGAAGAATTGGTGCCATCAATTTCTGTACCCCAAGTGGTCTTCAAGAAAGAAATTGAAGAAGAAGATACGATGGAAGAGAAAAGATCAGATGGAATAGCAAAGGAGAAAAAAATTTCTTCAGCATCTCTGCATTTGCCATTAGGCAAGGAAATTTTGCCAGAGCTTCAACTACCCAAAATGCTCAGTGACTGGACCCAGGATCAATTTTGGACTCAATTAAACAGTCCTTGGTTCCAAAATCTGACACCCTATGCCAACATCTTGAATTTCTAGTGCCTAATTTACTATGCAGAGCTATATCTAGACTGACTAGCCTGAGAGGATCACCAACGTTTTAAAAGCTTCAAGCTTTGGAAGCCTTTGCTGTTTCTGTCAATGAAAAAATTTGCCCAAATGTTTACATCTAATTTGCTTGGTCTAAGTTTGGATGTTCACTTGTTTTAATGGAAAATTGGAAATTTCATGACAAGCAAAATAAAAACAACTTAGTCGCTAACTTGCTATAACTGAGATGGTAGATGAACCTTGAAAAATTGGTTCATGGGCAAGCCTACGTAACACTGTCTTTCGTTTCAGTACAAAAAGGCCGAAGGGAATGGAGAAGGGAAGGATAGGCCGGAGCTGCTCAGTCGAGCATGACAGAACCCAACTCGTCAGCCCTACTTTCCTGCCTCCACAGGTGTCTCGCTTAATATTAATTTGGCGATTCGTATAATATAAATTATTAAAACTTATATATTTATATTATATTTTATATAAAAATTATGTATCATAATTTATATTAATATAAAATCATAAAATATATATTTTTTGTTTCATTAAATTCATTTATAATTATTATTAAAATTTAAATCATATCATTTTATTATCTTATTTTAATATTATATTTATATGATATCACTATATTATATTTTAAATTATCAAATCTTACCACCCCATATATCCACTAAATTGAATATATATTTTTAATTTTGTTTTACAAATTTGTATCAGCCTGAACTTAAAACATACAAAATGGTTTTAACATGTTTTCAAGGAATAACTTGATAAAAAAAATGGGTTTTTTTTTTTTTTTTTTTTTTTTTAGTTTTTGGGCTTCTTTTGCTTTTTTGATATTTTTTTTATTTGATTACTTTTTAATGTTATGGTTCAACGAGTAAATGTTTTAGTCTTTGACATCCATTGATTTGGATGACGCTACATTTAGTCATAGACTAAAGGGAGAAATACCATAAATATAATTTGTTGGTAGGAGTCCATATATGTTCTTGTACGATTATTTTATTGGTCTGTTTCCCCTCAAATATGAAAATTTTATAAATCAAACTTAATTTAAATTATGTCGTTAACAAAATAATGCAAAAACTATTTATATACTTAAATTCTTTTAAATTCGTAATTTTAAGAAATTAAGATTCAAATCTTTTAAATTCTCATTGTATATGTATGTATTCATCATTATAAAATCATTAAAAAAATAATTAATGTTATAAAACAAACGAATTTGTGTGCGAAAATTGGTTTTATTTTATATTTTATATTGTTAACTTGTAAAAATATAATATATATAATCTTAAAATATTTTTAAATCGGAAATTTTCTTCGAAGATTAATGAAAGTATATATTTAGATAAACAAAAAAATTAAAAAAAATAAATCAAGTAAAATGGAACTTAGCAAAATAGAGATTAGGCTTATGTGGTCTTAAAAGGCTGAATTTGGGCTTAATAGGCCCAATGGTTTATCTAAAGTTCTAGCCGTTTTCACTAGCATGAACATGCGTGCGCAATTGGCATGATTGAGTTTATCAAGTTTTTTAGTAGAATCCTGAATTTTAGTGTCGTGCAGGAGGCTGGCAAGATCTGCAGGCTCAACTTCTCCACATCTTGCAGAGTATAGAAAAATGGCTGGACTTTGATGATTGATGTTTCAAGATTATTAAGCTGTCTGCCTAACTGAAAGGCATGCATGACAATTTCATTGATTAAAACGTGTATAACACTTGAATTTCAGCCTGTTATCTTGCTTAAGTAATGCATCCATCCATGTGAATCATGACATTGAGGTTTTGCAGATTGATAATTGTTTTTTTCTTTTGTCTCTTGTTTTCAGAACTCTTGGAGGTAGCTCATCTTGGGAAGAAGTAAAACCTTGTCCAATTTCTTTTACTGGGGATTTTTTTTTTTGGTTTTATCTGAAAAGAAAGGTAAAATAAGACATGCAATGGTCATAATAGTATGCAAAAAGAGTAAACAATTGTAGTATGGAAAGAGTATTTCATTTATATGTGTATTTCATTTCTGTACATGATTGACAGATAGAGGTAATCAAAATTTTCTACGAGGTAAGGCTGCTGAGAAGGGAGACTCTAGCTTTGATCATACACCTGAAGAGGCAGTCGAATCCATCTTCAAGGACTTGAATACACAGCTCCAAGTCTTTTAGATGGTTTTGGATCTCAAGGTTCATGATGTTCTCAGATTTGCTCATCTTCTGACTCGCAAGGGATTTTAAAGCAGTATCAACATTTTCAAATCCATTTATGTCTCTTCCTGCTTCCTCCCAAGTTATTCTTTTGTGATGCATTAGTTTCGAAAATAATAACCAACTTCCAGGGTTCGGCCCATTGATCAGAGATAACAAATGGTTAAACATGGAAGAAGTGACTGATTCAACCTCTCGGAGAATGCTAACAATGGCCTTTGTCTCATGATCGTCTGAAGGAGAGAAAATTTGTTTTGTTTGTATGCCCTTCAGATTTCCCAATGCCTTGTGGATAGTCTTTTTGACAACTTTCCTGGAGGTTAAGTACTTCCTCACCTCACTTACAAGCTCAATTTCACCACTCTTCCTTCTACGCAAAGCTGATTGAAGTTCATTTGCGCTTTCCTTTGTTCGCAGCACAACATCCTTAGTAGTGCTACACAGGTCCAGGAGCCTAAGAGAACCATCCAACAACTCATCAACCCATTCCTTATGTTGTTCTTGGGCTAAAGCTTGCTGGAATAAAGGCAGTTGAAGCAACTCATCAACACAAACATACAAATCCTGAAAGCCATTTAGTTTATGGCTTATTGATGATGATGATGAGGTAGATGTAGCTGCAGAAGCCCTTAATCTGTTCAAATGCTCATTAACCTCTGTAGATAGTGGATGCTGTGTAGATGGGAGGGGAAAGCTGTTACAGCGAGTGTGGTGAATAGTTTGGGTAGCCATTTTTTCTTCTGAGGTAAGATACCTAATTGTTGAATGTTTCTTGCAATTTGCTCTGCGGAACTAGGCATTTGCCCCAAATACATATATCAGGTCATGGAGATGAAAGGAATCATAAATACTTCCTCTATCTGCTAATGCCAACATAATTTGGCTCTGATCAAAGGGTGTCAGCAATTTTCATGCAATGTCTCCCATCCACCAGTTCCCCAGCTCACTATCCAAGTATATATGTTAAGATACATATCCTAGGGGTTTTCATTGCGCACGTTGATACCATCCAAGCTGCCAATGCACGAGAGCTGTTGACATTGTTTCATCTAAATAACAAAAAGCAACAATTAATTGTTTTCACGTGTATAAGCAGACAGACTAATTCATTTCCATTTGTTGGTGTTAGAAGATGTGTTTAGGACTGCTAATATGAATTCATTGAATGTTTCATGTTGTTCCTGTTTTTCTGGTGTTGGTTATTTTTTTGTTATTCATGCTGGTGGTCATGGCTTAATTTTAGGATTATGATTTTAATGGGTAGTTATTAATTAGACTTTAAATTGTAATGTTTCTGATGTTAAGAAAAGTAACAGTGAGTAAAGTTTTCTTTGCTTCAAAATAACAACATTTGGTATCAGAGCCTTCTTCTTAAGGGATCTGTGTGTGAAATTCACGTGTCATGGAAGCTGAAGCCAGTTTCTCCGCAATTGCTCCGACGGTGTTTGACGGAGATAACTACCAGATTTGGGCAGTACGTATGGAGACATACTTGGAAGCTTTAGATCTTTGGGAAGCAGTGGAAGAAGACTATGAAATTCCTGTACTTCCAAACAATCCCACCATGGCACAGACTAAAGCACAGAAAGAAAAGAAGACAAAGAAATCAAAGGCAAAGGCCTGCTTGTTTGCTGCAGTCTCATCCATCATCTTCACTCGTATCATGTCTCTGAAGTCAGCAAAAGAGATATGGGATTATCTCAAGAATGAATATGAATGAGATGAAAGAATTAAAGGGATGCAAGTCCTTAACTTGATTAGGAAATTTGAACTTCAAAGAATGAAGGACTCCGAGACGATCAAAGATTACTCCGATAAGCTTCTGAGTATCGCAAACAAAGTAAGGCTTGTTGGATCTGAATTTACTAACTCAAGAATTGTAGAAAAAATTCTTGTTACAGTTCCTGAAAGATATGAAGCAACCATCACTGCCTTGGAGAATACAAAGGATCTGTCAAAATTTTTCTTAACAGAATTGCTTAATGCTTTGCAAGCACAAGAACAAAGAAGACTAATGAGGGAAGATACAACAATTGAAGGAGCTTTGGCAGTCAAGCATCAAAATGTGCCCAAAAGCAAAAGAAAGAAGAAAAAAGATTTTGAAGGAAATGGGGCAAGTACTGCATCAGCCAATGCAAAAGAAAAGAATGAAAATCAGAAGAAATCCTATTCACCTTGCCAACATTGTGGAAAGAAGGGTCATCCTCCATTTAGTGCTGAAAAAGACCTGATGCTAAATGCACTAAATGTAATCAGATGGGGCATGAAGTTGTTATCTGCAAAAACAAAAATTTTGTAACATGGTAAAGATGCAAAGATTGCTGATCAAGAGGAGAAATATCACCTGTTTGTAGCTACATGTTTCTCCGGCATCGAATCAAGTGAGAGTTGGCTTATAGATAGTGGTTGTACTAACCACATGACACATGACAAGGATCTATTCAGGGAACTAAGCAACGCAAACTCATCGAAAGTTCGAGTTGGTAATGGCAAGTACATAACTGTGAAGGGAAAAGGAACAGTTACAATTTCAACTTGTTCAGGTACAAAGTTCATTTCTGATGTATTATATGTCCCTAAAATTGATCAAAACTTGTTAAGTGTTGGACAACTAATTGAAAAGGGTTATAAAGTTGTGTTCGAAGATAAAAGTTGCTTGATTAAAGATGCAGTTGGCCAAGATATTTTCAAAGTAAAAATGAAAGGGAAAAGCTATGCTCTAAATCTATTGGAAGAGGAGCAAACTGCTTTCCCAATCAAAGAAAATATCACTGAAGTATGGCACAAGAGGCTCGGGCACTATCATCATCAGGGGTTGCTGCAGATGAAATTCAAGAATATGGTAAATGATTTTTCAGAACTTGATGATCATATTCCAAACTGTAAAGCATGTCAGTTTGGAAAGCAAAGTAGGAAACCATTTCCCAAGGCAACATGGAGAGCATAAAAAAAGTTACAATTAATTCATACTGATATTGCAGGCCCACAAAGAACGCCTTCTCTGAAAGGTAGTCTTTATTATGTTGTATTCATTGATGATTTCACCCGTATGTGTTGGATCTTCTTTTTAAAGTACAAGTCAGAGGTGGCTCAAGTCTTCTGGAACTTTAAAGCCAGAGTTGAAAACGAGAGTGGCTGCAGAATTCAAACTCTCAGATCAAACAATGGCAAAGAGTACACTTCTGAAGCATTCACTCATTTTTATGAAGAGGCAGGCATCTAACATCAATTGACTGCTCCATACACTCCACAACAAAATGGAGTAAGTGAGAGATGGAATAGATTCATATTGGAGATGACACAATGTATGCTACATGAGAAGAACCTGCCAAAGTAATTTTGGGCTGAAGCAGCAAATACTGCTATTTTTTTGCAAAATAGGCTTCCCACAAGAGCAGTGAAGGATCAAACACCCTTTGAGGCATGGTATGGTTATAAACCATCTCTGAATTTCCTTAAAATATTTGGATGTTTGTGCTTCACTTATGTTCCACAGACTAAAAAAGATAAATTAGATAAAAGAGCACTTCCAGGCATCTTTATTGGCTACAGCTTAGTTACAAAAGCTTATAAAGTTTTTCAGCCACAAACTGAAAAAATTATTATAAGCAGGGATGTGCACTTTATGGAAGCTGAAGAGTGGAACTGGGATGATGCAAAAAAGATGGATCCAACCTTAAAAGAGCACAAGCTCAAGTTTCCTAGCATTAGAGACTGGAAGAATAAAATGGTGGATGACAGTCCTATCAGAGGTACAAGACTACTTTTTGATGTTTATCAAAGATGCAATATTGCTGTGTGTGAACCTATAAATTATGAAGAGGCCAAGATGGATCAAAATTGGATTGCTACAATGAAGGATGAGCTATTCATGATTGAAAGGAATGAAACATGGGAGTTGGTTGATCGACCCCAAAACAAAAAAGTAATTGGAGTCAAATGGGTGTACAGAACCAAGCTTAATGCTGATGGCTTAATCAACAAGTATAAAGCTAGACTCGTGGTCAGAGGATATGCTCAAATACTCGGTGTGGACTACTCAGATACCTTCACACCAGTTGTTAGACTCGACAACATCAGGCTCTTACTCGCCGTTGCAGTATAAATGAATTGGAAAGTGCACTAATTAGATGTCAAGTCAGCATTCTTGAATGGTTTTCTGCAGGAAGAGATTTATGTAGAACAACCAGAAGGCTATGTTAAGGAAATAGAAGAAGACAAGGTTTATCTTCTTAAAAAGGCACTTTACGGATTGAAGCAAGCTTCAAGAGCTTGGTACAGCAGGATTGATAAACATTTACAGAACTTGGGATTTATCAAAAGCTTATCTGAATCAACATTATATGTCAAGCACAATGGAGCTGACATTTTTATCATCTCACTATATGTGGATGACTTACTTGTGATAGGAAACAACATAAGTATTGTGGAGAAGTTTAAGCAAGAGATGATGGAGTTTTTTAAAATGACAAATCTTGGATTGATGACCTTTTTTCTTGGAATGGAAATCAAACAAAATGAACATGAAGTCTTCATTTGTCAGAAGAAATATGCCAAGAAGATTCTGAAAAAGTTTAAACTCGAAAAATGTAAAGAAATGAGGACACCAATGAACTCAAAGGAAAAGCTCTGTAAAGAAGATGGAACAGAGAAGATTGTTCAGGCATATTTCAGAAGCCTGATTGGTTGCTTAATGTTTCTCACAGCAACTCGACCTGACATTTTGAATGCTGTAAGCATTTTGTCTTAGTTTATGCATTGTGCAAGTGAATGACATCTCAAGGCTGCAAAGAAGGTGCTTAGATATGTGAAAGGCACAAGTGATTTTGACATTAAATATACAAAGAGCAAAGAGTTCAAGCTGGTTGATTTCTCAGACAGTGATTGGAGAGGTTCTATTGATGATATGAAGAGCACTTCAGGCTATTGTTTCACACTTGGTTCTGGTGTTTTTTCATAGAGCTCAAAAAAATAAGAAATTGTAGCTCAATCCACAGCTGAAGCAGAGTTTATTGCTACAACAGCTGCTGTTAATCAAGCTTTGTGGCTAAGGAAGATTTTAATCGATCTTAACTTAGAGCAGGAGAAAAATACGAAGATTCTTGTTGACAATCAAGCTGCCATTGCTATCTCTCAAAATCCTGTGTTTCACGGGAAAACTAAACATTTTAATATTAAATTATTCTTCTTAAAGAAAGTATAAAAAGAAAGAGCTATTGTTCTTGTCTACTGCAAAACAGAAGATCAGGTTGCAGACGTTTTTACCAAGCCACTGCCAGTTAGCAAGTTTGAATTTCTGAGGACAAAACTTGGTGTTTGCAGCTTCTAAAGCAAGGATGAGTGTTAGAAGATGTGTTTAGGACTGCTAATGTGAATTCATTGAATGTTTCATGTTGTTCCTATTTTTCTGGTGTTGGTTATTTTTTTGTTATTCATGCTGGTGGTCATGGCTTAATCTTAGGATTATGATTTTAGTGGGTAGTTATTAATTAGATTTTAAATTGTAATATTTCTGATGTAAAAAAAAGTAACAGTGAGTAAAGTTTTCTTTGCTTCAAAATAACAACAGTTGGGGTAAGCTGTCCCTCGAGAGTTGGGGACAATTGTTGCATAATTGTTCCTAGAAAAGAAAATTTATTATGCGATTTAATCATGGCAAAAAATAAAAAAATCTAATATAGAGGTCAAGTATGGAGCCAAAGGATCCAATTAGAAGTCCAAAATCATGTACTTACTGTTGGGGAACACCACAGCTCTGATATCATTTGTTGGGCTAAAAGCCTCCAATCCAATCACACCAACGGAAGCGAAATCAAACAATAAATCAAACACACAAGAGACAACAATTTAACGTGGTTCGGTCCAACTGACCTACATCCACGGATGAGAAACAAGATCCACTAGTTGTAAAGAATTACAAACATACATCAAATCATCAACCTCACTCAACAATCAATACTCATAAGACACTCTCAATCTCCTCTAGTCCTATAGAGTATTCTCAACCCAAACAAACACAAACCCAAACCCTTGTGCACTCTTTCAACATAACCAAATACATACCCATATGCTCCCATACATCATACCTATATGGACCCTCTCAGTCTTCTCTAGTCCACTCACAAACAAACATACACACCTATAAGACGTAGAGTCCCAATACTCTTATAGGGTGTCTATCCCACAAAACCCTACAACTCTCTTACATCTTTTTTCTCATACCTAACCCTGTAAAGACTTCACCTATTTATAAACATACAAACTTGCCCATTAAGAATCCCTCTCCTCTTAGAATTCTTCTCCTGTAAGTCAAACTTACCTATTAAGAATCCCTTTCCTTTTATAATTCTTCTCTTGCAAGTCAAACTTACCTATTAAGAATCATTTTTCTCTTGAAATTCTTCTTTTGCAAGTCTTCTTGTCCATCAAGCAATATCTGACAAATCTCAAACAAATCTCTAATAAATCTCAAACAAATCTCTTATGGGATTTGAGTCAATATTCCCAACGCTTACATATATAGCAATCTGATAGTGCTCTGTTTTTCCTCTATTAAATCTTTTAGAGCAACCACAAGGTCAATTTGTTTTGAGGCAAAGTAATGGACCTTTTGAACACAAAATGAAAGGCAATTTCAAACGAAAATTTAAATCATTCGGGTATTAATGGCTGGCCATCCTCCTCACTGGCACTTTTTTATGCACAATTATGTTGTTGATCAAAGTTAAATTATTAATTGATCAAATGATTCATGGCTTTAAACTTGATTGCCAAACAACTAAAACATGGGGTTGAATAAGAGGAATCCTGACAGCTCAGATATTCAAAGCAAAATTTCAGAAAATCTTCCAAGACACAGAATGTAATAATAGGGGGTAAAGCCAGTAGGGTTAATGGTTGAAACAATGTGCCAGGCATTCAAAATTTAGAATTAAAATTTATGGCTCAAGTTGCATTAGTAACCTGTAAATTCAAAAACAAGCTTCCGGATAGACAATTAAATTATTTCAAAGCAAGAAAAGAGAGAAAATTTGTGGAAAGAATATTGTATTACTTTCGTATTAACAATTTTTATACATGTAAATATAAGATTTTAACAGTTGAGGATGTTGAGAACAGTGACTCTGGCATTGATCGAACGCCTACAGAGACTTTCAAGCCCTTCTTCAAGATCTTGAATGCATAACTCTGAGCTTTGGAGCTCATTTTGCACTTTCTCAACGTGCTTCATGTTTGCAGATTTGATGAAGGAACGCATTGCAGCTTCAGCATTTGCAATTTCATTTGTTTTTTGTTCTTCTTCCTCACAGATTACTCTTTTCTGGTGCATTAATTTGGAAACTAGTGACCAGCGGCTCAACTTTGATTCTGTTTCTGGCCCTGAAATAAAGGACAAGAAGGATTTGAGCACGCTTATGGTAACTGCTTCTACTTCTTTTAAGATGCTGACCACAGCTACATTTTCACCATCCTTGCTGAAGGAACAGCTGCTAAGTTTATTTTCCATGCGCTTCAAATTCTTTAAGGCCTTACAGACTGCCTTTTTCACCGCCTTCCTGGAGGTTAAGTATTTCCTAACCTCATCAACAAGCCCTTCAACGTCTCGTCTTCTGCGAAAAATTGATTGAAGTTCTTGTGTGCCCTCCTTGGTTTGCAACAAGGCATCCTTGGCAGTGCTACATGCATCCAAGAGCATGAGAGATGCATCCAAAAGTTCTTCAACCCATTGCCATTGCTGCTTTTGGGCTAGAGCTTGTTGAGTGAGTGGCAACTGAAGCAACGTATCAACATATTCATGCAAATCTTGAAGACCATTTAGTTTATGGCCGATTGATGATGATGTAGAGGCCGATTTAGATGCCCTCAATCGGTTCAGATTCTCATCAATTTGTGAAGTGATGGGGTGTTCCCTTGAAGGCAAGCTGTTTGAGCGAGAATGGTAAGAAGGTTGGATATTCGAAGGAGAGGTAACCATTTTTCTTGTTTTAGAGAAGAAAGAAGGCCTTACAATTGTGTTTTCAACTCAGTCTTGCTATTTGCTCAATTCCCCTTATCATCTGCTGAACATATATATTACAGATTCAGGGGAGAGACATGAGGAATCTCATTCTTTTTAAATATCAATTAGAAGTAACATGGGCTTGATTTGGATCTACACACTATCACGAAAATGTTTGTGTTGTGTCTCCTCTCCACCATTAAAACAACTCATCTTCAATAAAAACTTATATTCAATAAAAGGATACCAATACAATAATAATGAATCATTGCTTTGAACTTGTCTGTCATTGCATTGTTGTTGAATTTGTTCTGCAAGAGGGAGGCAAGATCCGCTGCTTGACTTCTATACCTCTTTCCTGGCTACAGAAATATGAGTTTCTATGATTTTATCAGGAAAGCATGCACTTTGCTGCATTTTCTTTTTGATCATGGGAAAAAAGAAAGCAAATTTCTTGAAGATTCAACTCTCCCCTACAGAAATTGTCACGGATTGAGACATAACACGACTATATTACTTTGAAGTAAAACTCCAATGTAATACAAAGTCTAATCCATAACCATTGAAAAATCCTCACATAAAATAAAGTTCTCAAAAAGTTTTAATATCTTTAAAATAACTAAATAACAAGTTTTGGTTTAATGTCGAAGTATTACAACTAAAAAAAATAATACTTCATAAAATCTTATTCTCTAAATAATTCTCCAATGCTTAGATTCTTCTAGTTCCTCATAAGATTAATTATGCTTATCATTCATATCATCTGTAAAAAAAAAAATGAATAATGAGCAAACCATAGCTTAGTAAATATAGGCTCACATACTTTACCAGATCAAACGTTGTTTTCATACATATGATATAGATCATTTCAAAAACATTCATTAACTCATAATATAAAAAATAATTCAAAAATCAACATTCTATCAAACATTCGTAGATCATAAATCAATGTCAAACATGTCACAAATCATGGATCAATTAGTAAAAGTCATTCATCACAAATCATCATTATTATTCATTTATCGTTAGCTAAAGTCAATGCTATAACATGTGATATTGACAATATCGACAAATTCATCATCATGATCATTGTTAATTATTATAACCCACTAGCTAGGACCTTACGCTAACTACCATAACCCATTAGCAGGACCATATGATCATGTTTATACTAACTACTATTACCTGTTAGCCAGAACTAGCCAGAACTATAAAACTAATTCTAGTGTCAATGATCTCACTTTTCAGGGATGTAAAACATATATATCATAAAATCATTTTTTAAACATAAATCATTCTTTCATTTCATTCATTAGCATGATCCATCGTTTATATAAAGAAATGCAAAATAATCGTATGCTTGATTTTATTTTTATACATCGAAAATAATGAAATAAAACATTCATTCATTTAGAAAATACATATATACATAGATTCAATAACAAGCAAAGTATGTGAGATTTTATTTATCTCTTTTTAATTCTACCACTTAATTTTTTTCCCTAAATAATTAACTGCCTATTTAAGATAATTTCAACATAATAGTAATTAATCAACCCATTTGAAATCACTTATACCAAAACAATTAAGTTAAACAAGAATTAACTCAAATAACTAATTTTGACAGCTTGCGCTACTTTCACTAAAACAATCATATCTCAAGATATTCAACTAGGAATTAAAATCTTTTTAATTCGTTAGAAACTAGACTCGATAAACTTTCTAATCATATATGACCCGTCTCTTGTTTTCTCGTTGATTAATTATAATAATTTTTGCAATCCACGTCAGATACTACTACCAGACAGCCTGTATACCTTTTAATAAACATTACGTATTTATTCATAGGAAACTTCAAATTCAATTTCATTTATTTCGTTGGAAAGTAGACTCAATAAGCTTTCTAAACATATATAGCCTAATCTGTAAATCCTTGTATAAAAATTAAGAGGAATTTCGTAATTCCTACCAACTGCTATTACTAGGCAGCCTGCACATCTTTAAGTAAATATTAAACTACTTTTCATAAAAAAATTCAGAATTGATTTCTGCTTATTTTATTGGTAAGTAAATTCAATAAGCTTTCCAATGATATATAATAATCATATTAATATTTAATCATTTAATACAAAATATGACCTTAATCTATCACTACAAACATCAGGGTTCATATCAGGATTCATGCAAAAAAAAATTTTCTTTTCTATTCTCATCAAATTTTTGTTTCCTATTTTTACAATAATAAAATCACATTACCAACTTTTTCAACACTTAATTAGACCCTAATTAAAGTCTAAATTATTTGCCCAAACTAATCTTGAAGAGGGATAATAAAAACCCTAAAATCTTAAGATTTCTTGATTACAAATTACATCTTAAAACTTAACAATCAACACTTCAAAATTAAAGGAAATTATTTCTCACCTCTGCCAGACAATTCTCCTTACAATTTTTGTTGTTACTCTTCACTTGGAATCTTTCAATTTTTCTGTAGAAGAAACAGGGGAGAAATAAGCTTTTATTTTTTTTTGGATTAGTCATTAACTGAAAATTATAGAATAAGTTAATCCTATTAAAAAAATTAAGCTATTTATCAATAGATCCTCTACATTTCTCATTCTTTACTAAAGAATCTCTCCGACAATTTTCCACAAAGCAACCCTTGTATGATCTGAATCAACTTGATTAGTATTTAATCATTTGTTCTGGTTATTTTTTGAGACAATAGGAATCTTGACATATTCATGAACAACGGATTAAAATTGCACAAGGTAATTCAGGGTTCAAAAAACTTGTTACAGAGATATTCATTTTTTCTTCTAGAGGAAACAAGCCTAATTGTTGAATGTTTCCAGCAATTTACTATGCAGTAGTATGTATCAGCTCAAATATATATATATATATAATCAGGTCATAGAGACAAATGAAATCTCAAATGCTTCTTCTATCGGCTAAGTTTTTTTACTCAATTTCGATCTCGATCTAAACACTCTGTCAGCATTGTTTATGCAATGTCTCCCCTCGACCAACTCTAGCTCACTGTCAAATTAAGTTGAAATATAAATCCTATGAGTATCTTTGCACACGTTGATATTATCCAAAATTGGCCATGCACAAGTTAGCTGTTGACATTGTTTCATCTAAACAAGAAAACTGCAACAATTAAATGTTTGCACGAGTGCAGGAACATATATTACTTAATTTTTCTCCCCAGAAAGAAATGTCACTAAATATATTTAATCTTTGAGGTTATCTGGAGTCAAAGCTATGGAGATTCGCACTCAATTTACAAGATATTATTTGTTATATCTGAAAATCTTATGGTTTTAACTAGAAAAACACCTCACAGGTAATTTTATTGATTAGAAGTCCAAAATCATGTAATTTTAGATGTAGTAATTTGATACTAATATATTGTCTTTCATCCTGTTTTTATCCTGTTGAGTGTTTTACTCAGCATCCAAAGGTCAATTATACTGAGGCAAATAACAGGCTGTTTGAACTTCCTATGAAATGTTTCTTTGAAAGGCTTTTAAATCATTAAATTACTCCTGGCTGCTCATCCTCCTCATTCACATGTCTCTTTCTTCTTTTTCCTTTTTGGTGCCAACCTCATTCACATGTTTAGATGCTCCATTATGCTAATCAGAGTTGAAGGATTAGATCAGCTAAGATGACATTGGCTCCTCTTTTCCTTAAGAAAGAAACATTTTATATTATGACTAATTGAATAACAGCCAGCACATTTTTTAGCATTTAAAGCATGCGACATTCACGTCTATCATATGATAGTCATTCATTTCAACAAGCTTTCAATTATCTCCAAGGAGACAAGAGGAATCATGACAGCTCAGATACTCAGATGCCAATTGTAAAATGCAAGAAATTTTCTGAGTCTCCAAATCATCCAACTTGTTAGTTGACAAGGAAAGTTGTCTTAATTTGCAAAACTAGATGTTAATCCAATAGACTTAATGGTTGAAACTAGGCAAAAGTTATGCAAAATCCAGACGCAAAATTTTGGCTTTTGGTTGCCATAATAATAACCTTTGAATGCAAAAAATTGTAGGAAAAATACATTGTAACTTTTTTATTAGTAACTGTATACGTGTAAATTTCAGTTATGTACAATTGGAATCTCAAATTAACAGTTGAGGATGTTGAGGACAATGACTCTAGCTTTGATCAAACGCCTGAAGAGGTTTTCAAGTCCTTCTTCAAGATCTTGAATGCACAACTCTGATTTTTGGAGCTCAATTTGCACATTTTCAATATGCTTGATGTTGTCAGATTTGATGAGAGAGCGTAATGCAGCTTCTGCATTTGCAATTTCATTTGTGTTTTGTTCTTCCACACATCCTACTCTCTTTTGGTGCATTAACTTTAAAACAAGTGACCAGCGGCACAACTTTGATTCTGCGTCTGGCCCTGAGATAAAGGACAACAAGGATTGTAGCACTCTGACTGTAACTGCTTCCACTTCTCTTAAGATGCTAATCACATCTCCATTCTCACCATCATTGTTGAAAGAAGAGGTGTTAGATTTAGTTTCCATTTGCTTCAGATTCTTTAAGGCCTTGCAGATAACCTTCTTCATTGCTTTCCTAGAGGTTAAATATTTCCTGACCTCAATTACAAGCCCCATTTCAGCTCCTCGTCTTCTGCGAAAAACTGATTGAAGTTCTTGAGTGCACTCCTTTGTCTGCAACAAAGCATCCTTGGCAGTGCTACATACATCCAAGAGCAAAAGAAATCTATCCAATAGTAATTCAACGCATTGCCGATGCTGCTCTTGGGCTAGAACCTGTAGAGTGAGGGGCAGTTGAAGCAACAAATCAACACATTCATGCAAATCTTGAAGACCATTTAGATTATGACCTATTGATGATGATGATGATGATGTAGAAGCTGTTTCTGATGCCATCAATCGGATCTCACCAACTTGTAAAGCAATGGGGTGTTGCCTCGAGGGCAAGCTGTTGGAGCGAGAATGAAAAGAAAGTCGGATGTTCAAAGGAGAGGTAGCCATTTTTTCTTGTTTTAGAGAATAGAGAAAAGGCCTTGCAATTGTGTCCAACTCAGTCTAGCTATTTGCTGTCTTTCCCTTATCATCTGCCCAATATATATTACAGAGGTGAGACATGAGGAATCTCATTCTCTTCAAATATCAATTATAAGTAACATGGACATGATTTGGATCTACTCAATTAACTCAGAAATGTTTATGTTCTGTCTCCTCTCCTCCACTGACAACAACTCAGCACGTTGGTGCTGGTCTGCAGGCAACAGTCATTTTCTATCTGTTTCTTATTTTTCTTTACTTAATAATAAGTAATAATTGCATTGCTGATGAATTTGTTAGTACATATAATTTTTCTTTGGAAAACAATGGTAGGTTCATCAGGTTGCTCTCTTAATTTCTGTTGCCTTCTGCTGAAAACATATATATCCCAGAGGTGAGGGAAACAAAGGGAATCTCAACCACATGATCGACTTTGATTTGCATCTAAAACAAAGGGAAACAAAGGTCTGTCTCCCCATCACCAACTTCCCAACTCGAAACCCAATTATCTAAGCCATAAAATAAAATCAGATGGGATTTGTAGCTGCACGAGTGGCGTTGACTTGGTAAAAAGAAAAGGAACGAGAGTAAAAATGACGGGCAAAATGATTTCTGAAATGAGGGGAATGTTTAATTTTTCTTCTTCGTGGGGGAATTTACAGCAAAATTGTACTCTTGGTCCAATGGCTGAGCACGTTGAGTACCCTGGTTTTGATCAGACATCTCATGATACAATCTAGTCTTGGATCTTATTAGTTACATGATTCAAATTCTGAATCATTTGGTCAATTAAACCCTGATATCATGGTAAAATCAATCTTTTGATTGAAAATTTTTATTAAACTAACATTGAAATATGTTCAACAATTGGTCCTGTTACCAAGTCTCTCTGCAAAGAGCAAACACCAAGTGTATAATAAGGAAAATTGTAGATTTGTTCATGAAAATTGTATTCATTTATGATCAGATCAAATATACATGTATTTTTTAGCCATATACAAGGACTGTACAGCAAAATTGTAGTAAGTTTTTTTCAGATGCCAATCTGTAATAATCTTCTGCAGCTAATGGCTGAGGATATTGAGAACAGGAACTCAAGTTTTAATCAAGAGCCTAAGCACGCACTCCACTCCATCCTCAAGATCTTGAATGCTTGAATCCAATTTCTGCAACTCAATTTGGGCACTCTCAGTGTTCGTGTTACTAGATTTCTTGTCTTGTGACCAATGAGAGTGCACAAAACTGCATCCATTCTCTCAAATTCATTAGTTTTTGTTGCTTCTCCCTCGCTTGTTACACATTTGGAGTGCATCAACTTGGACACCAAAGACCAATTGGTATGTTTTGGTTGCATTTTTGTCCCACTGATATAAGACAAGAGAGATTCAAACACTGTGAGGGTAACTCCTTCTACCTATCTCAACATGCTAAATGTAGCTTCAACATCATTTTCTGAGTTACATTTACTCTTCAAATCTCTCAAAGACTTGTTTATTATCTTCTTTGCTTTCTTCCTTGAGGCCAAGTATTCTTTAGCTTCATTTGTGAACCCAGCATCATCACCTCTTCTTCTTCTTAAAATTGATTGAAGTTCTTGGTTATCTTCCTTGGCCCGCAATAAAGCATCCCTGGCTACACCACCAACATCCAAGAGCCTGAGAGACCCGTTCAACAACTCATTAACCTGTTTATCATTGCATTGTTGGGTTAAGGATTTTTGTGTGAGAGGCAATTGAAGGAAACTATCAACCAATTCATACAGATCTCTGAGGCCACTCAGTTTTTCTACAATTGATGGAGATGATGAAGAGTTGGCTTCATTGGACTTTAGCCTACATAGATGCTCATCTATTTGTGGAATAAGTGGATGAGGTCTAGAAGGCAAGCTGTTTGAACGAGCACGAAAGTTGGATTTTTGGTTCCAAGGTGAAGAAGCCATCTTTTTGTCTGAAGATCAAGAGGCTAAAGGCTTCAATGTACAATTTGATCGTTCTCAATGCACCTTCCCTCTCAAGCTCTGATCATATATATTGGCAACAGGGAGACAAAAGGAATCTCATATGCACCCTCCACGAGTCCTAACTTGATCCTGATCTGGATCTCAACATTTTTCTTGCCAATGTCTGCTCAATGTCTCCCCACACCCCAACTTACCACACAATAATCTCAACAAACTAATCTTCTTTCAAATTCTGAAAGCAAATTTAATATATAAACATGATGACCTAGCATGTTTTTTATGGAAATGGTGCGTAATTATTGTGCAAGAATGGCACTGAGGCCCCTGTCTCCTTTCTGCAATAAATAATCATCTCCCTGTCCAATACATCCTGCATAGTCGTGAACATTTAATAAATTTCCAGGAAACTTTAATTGCAGATCACTTATCTACTCAATTATTTGGTTATGCAAAAATGATCCTACATATCAGCCTGAGCTATGCCTTATTGGGGGCAAGATTCCAATGCCGCTTGCGTTAAATTTTGAATGATTTCTTATAATGAAACCACTATTTGCCACATTACTCAAAAGCTCTTGAAACCAAATGTTTCTTAGCATAAACATAAAAGCATGGAGGGGCATGTACATTTTGAAGAGTTATAAAAAGAAAGGGTTTAAACACATTCTTCGGCATTTCATTCATTTTCAATTTTGAAATTCAATATCAAGCTCAGATTTTTACACAAACTTTGGCAGCCTCAGCAAGAATGGGTACATGGGGTGCAGAATCAATACTAGACTTTGGTCTCATGATCCCTTCGCGCGCCACGTTGCCTCTTTTCTTCAAGTCCAGAAGCTTCATTCAACATGTCTGCAGCATCCTTATGCATGTCTAGTTTGGCAAGGGCAACTGACTGCATGTAGAAGGCCGTTGGCCACTCAGGATTCACAATTTGCGCCTGCATTGCATCTGCAAGGGCAAAATCTGATTGATCACAAAATAGATAGCACAGACTGCGCCGAGCAAAAACAGTCGGGGAGACCATGGTTCCAACATCTATGAACTGCATAGAAAGAAAAAGTAACAATAAGCCTTCCATCCCAACTCAAGATGGTTTAATACTAATCTGGGAAAGATTTATTCGGACGATCAAGAGGATCAACTTAAAGAACATAACCTCAATTATATAAAAGGTCATTTTGGCCAAGAATAGCTGCTTGACACCATGATAACTGATCTGTGGTGGCGAACACAAATTTAAAATTTAAAATATCTATATTTCCAGAGGAGAAGGTTACGTGTACGAACCCCTTCCAAGATAAGAAAAGGATAGATGACATTGACAGACAAACCAAAATGCATAAAATTCAATTAATATAATCTCAATCGTCCTAGAATTATTGGAATGTGAAAACAACAAATTAGCAAGATAGCATCATTGACAAATTCTCAAGACAGAACATAAACTACTTGACAAGTTAGACACTTAAAGTTAAACCTGGGAATAACAGTCAATGGCAGTTTTAAAATCTTTGTCACGGAATGCATAGTCCCCTCGCTTCCTAGCCTCAAGCATATCTCTCATCTGCTGGGTCCACTCTTGGAAAGATAACTGAAGCAAATCCACAATTATAAAAACTTCTTAGCAAAAGATAAAAAGAAAATGGACTGAAGGATTCACTCAAACGAATCACTCACCTCATAACTGAAGCAAATCCACAATTATAAAAACTTCTTAGCAAAAGATTATAGAAAATGGACTGAAGGATTCACTCAAATGAATCACTCACCTCATTTGTCCCTTCATCATCCTTGTAGTGATTCATCACCAATATCTGATGAATTGCTGTGAGGTCAAGTCGTGAACAGGCCTCACCCATTGGCGAAAGTGGACGCTGTGGAGTTGATGGAGCTTCCCCGTATTTTGAAATTCCAAGCATGACATAAGATGGAACCTGCAAACCAAGAGATACAATAATCAGGATCTACAAAAAAGCATGCCCCTCTGATCTTCAAGACTGCAGCCATCAGGTAATAAATGTAATTCACTGCTTATCATTTTTTAGCTTTTGGACAGTTCAAGGTAACGATAGCAAAGGTGAAGCATGTATTGAAGTATTGAAACAGAAGACCTTCTAGCATCGGTGATCATTCAGATACAATACCCATTATTTTCTTCATCAGATATAGTGTCATTCAGTGATTTTAATTACTGCAGAAACCATATCTGTGAAAAGGTTTCAACTCTTAACTAAAGGGAATAGAGGCGACCTCCATATCCTAAATCTTTGGCTCACCAATAGAGCAAGAATAAATTATTAGGAATTGAATTTGTAAAAGCAGCAAAGTTCCTCACATCAGGTTTGGTTTGCAATGGAGCAAGTGTGGCAACAAGGTCCTTCGTAGTGGGCCGCTCCCTGGGTTCATATTGCAAACATTGAGAGGCAAGGCCAACAACCACAGTCGCTTCCTCTGTTGAAAATTTTCCCTCTAAATGTGAATCCATGAGGAGAATGATGTTTTTACCCCGTATCATATCAAGTGCCTGCAGACATGCACAGCCATCAAGATAAAACCAAAGTTTGTATCCTTGGAGATTAATACTGTCTTCTAGTAGAAAGGCAAAGACATATGACAAGCAGCGGTTGAAATGGAATAGTAAAAGACTGGTCAGTAGAAGATTCAAAATTAATAAGAAAAAAGTGAACTGCTCTATGGCAGTTAAGCCTCATGAACTCACAATTTGAATAGCAAGTTCTTATTGACAAGCATTGCAGCTGATTATGGGTTGCAGAGTTTGAAAATGAAAGAAAATCTACACAATACTAGATATGCATACCTTGTATCACAAATATAAGCTACTTAAAGCCACTTACATGACTAGGAGGGATGTGCTTCCCGCTTAGCAAATCAAGAAGCACAGTGCCAAAGCTGAAAATAACGCTTTCAGGGGTGACTCTCCCTACAATATATACAATTGTGGCAATGACAAGAAGCATAAGTTCAAGAAAATTCAATGAAAAGAATCATTCAAATTAAAAAAAGAGAACATTTCTCATACGTCATATAACTTACCAAAATAGCTCATCAAAATACGATGACAGACAAACAGATAATCATACTTCGGGAAATGATTTTCTATATGTTAAGGAAAAGATAAGAACAACTCATGCATGCAAAGACTAAATGAAAACCATTTATCTGTTAACACCAGAATCCATTTTCATAAAAGCCTGGCCTCCAGTTCCCCTTTCAATGCTCTATGAAAAATACTAAGCAGTTTTTGCCAGAGAAGGTGAGCAAGAAACAAGATCTCTAGGAGCTGCAACAGTAACTGTTGATACAACAGGAAGTCTGCTAAAATTGGTAACCTAACATCATTCATATAGTTTACTTACTCAAACTTCATTGAAAAACATCAGAATGAAACACAAAGGAAGACAAGTCTTTTACTGGGAACACATACAAGAAATTGAAGCAAACCAATGGATTTGACATAAACAAATCATATAGAGTAACAGTAGTAAGGACCAAAGTCAATTCCAGAGATGAGTAACAGGTAAATCCTTTTACATTTGGACAAGATGAAGAACAAAGAATAAGTGTTTTATGACAGCAGAAACTAACCACCAGCAATAGATCAATTAGAAAACAAAATTACCATTTCTTAGATACTCAGGAGGTGTGTAGGCAAGATTAGTGCTATAACTTTTCCCATCCCTGCTATTTTTCATCAAGCCAAAACATGAAAGACGTGGATCACCATCCTACAAAGTCCAGTAAAAGGACATCAATTAGTGCCCTAAGTGAGAGTTAATGCTAGAGAAAACGGAGGAAAAAGTTCTATACGTAATAGGAAACCTTAAATTCAAGAGACAAATACCTCATCAAAAATAACCCTGTAAGCATTTAAATCATGGTATAGTGGGTGGCCCTCACTACTACAATAATCTAAAGCTTCAGCAATATAGGAAGCTACCCTTAAACGCATTGCCCACTCAATGGTTTGATTTTCCCCTGTATGATGTGAACAAAGACCCAAATTTAGTCCGAGACAAACAAAAATGTCTAGCTATAATCTCAACCTAAAGCATTTAACCAACAATAGAAAACAATCAAAGAACTAAAGCAGTTAACTAACAATAGAAAACAATCAAAGAATCTATATGTAATCTATCTTATAAGTTCAGTATGGATTATAGGAACTCAATAAATTAGCAAGAAATTAAAACAAAGATTGTTGGATAAACTGCTTATGACATGAGCAATGAATCAACAATAACGGGAAGGGAAACAAAGGCTAAGCCAGAGTTACATAAGGCATGTTCTTGACAACAATTAGCAAGAACACCTAAAATATCAATCCTGATAAAACTACTTAAAACATGAGCAAGAAATTAAAAAAAAAAATTGAACAAAAATATGAAAAAAGTGAAAAGGATTTCTTCAAGTTAAAAGAGAATGAGAACTTACAATGAAACAAATGCTTAGCAAGAGTATCATTAATCATGTACTCAGCAACAAGCAGCCTTTCATCTCCATCACAGCAATACCCTATCAAATTTGCCAGCCTCTTGTGTCTCAACTTGCCTACTCCCCATGCTTCCTCCTAACAAATCCACAAAATCCCACTTCAAATATCTCAGAAAAACCAAAAAAAAAAACCAAAAACAATAATAATAATACCGCAAACTGTTTGGGGTCAGGCCAAGCCATCTTAGTAAACTTCTTAACAGCGATCCATTTACTGTTTTGTAAACGACCTTTGTAAACAAGGTTAGGAGCTTTATCCCCACTCTCAGAAACTATGTTATCCGAACTGAAATTATTGGTGGCCGCCTTGAGGTCAGCCAAAGAGAACTCAGAGAAAGAAGGAACTCCATTAGCAGCAGCTCGGTCGGGTCCATCACCCAAACCTGATTGGGTATGGTTCCGGGGCTCCTGATGTTGTTCTTGAGTCTGGTCTTTTTCTGGGTGGGTCTCTGTTAGAAAAGATGATGCACAACAACCCATAATTCAGTTTGATTGAAGCTTTCTTTTACTTTTCAGAACAGAATGACAGACCAAAAAATAAAGGGTTTAGGACTTTGAGAGGGTTTGGGTTTCTTTCTTTGTTACTACAAAGTACTTTGTTTCCTTGTTTTGATGGTTGAGTTTGTTCTTGTTTCAGGTTTGTTCGTGTTTCAGCAACAAATGTTTAACTTGTTGCTGTGATGAAGAAGTTGATCATTTCCAGCTTTAAGACACTGATATTTATAATAGTAGTCACTTTTTTATACAGCTCCTGGGAAATTACTCAGCTGCTTCTGAAGTTTAATCATAATTTTCAATTACCGTATTTGCTTTCAGTTTCACACAGTCTAATAGGAGAATAACTGGAACCAAAATGAGAAAAGGAATAAACAAATAAAGGAAAAGAACACTCATTCATTTGTTTTATTTATGATTTTATCTTTACATATGAATGAGTTGTAGTAGTTGTCAACAAATTTTAGTCCTTTTTCACAGCTAATTTTGACCCATTAATATTGATTAAATTAAGAATTTTTATTAAATTTATTGTAAAATAAAACTTAATTTAATTTAATTATCATTTGTTAAAAAAATGGCTTATACAACAATGTTAGATCCCAAATTTTTCTTCAAATTATTAATAATGGGTTTAAAACATTTACAGATTCAGGCCATTAATTTTTTTTTTTTGGCTCTGGTTGAACTACTATTTGACAACTGGCCCAAAAAAAAAAAACTATCTCACAAGACAAAAGGATAAAATTTTGTGTACCTTTTCATGTCCTTTTCCAGCCCCTCAATTTGTGTCATTATTTGGTTCAAATTGGCTTTCAATGAGGGTCTAGGAACAGATTAAGCATAACAAGTGATGGAGACCGCATATCTTCTCCACCAATAGTTGGCTAGTTTCTTTGTTCCATCAAATGATGATGCGCCACTCCCAGATGCCAGAGCATGGCAATTTCTTTAAGCAAGCCATCGAGTGCCTGACAAAGATATATTTAGATAGATAACAAAACTAACAACAACTTGATTCAATTGGTAAAATTTTTTTTTTTTGTATAAATAGTTTTGGTTCGAGTTTAATTGATGATTTATTAAAATTATTTTAAATATATATGATTTATATATTTATTAATTACTTTAAATGCACAACTTATAATTATTATTTTTTAAATTATAAAATATGACACATTTTGTTAATGTGTTATATTTTAAATGAATAGTAAAATTAATAATCTAATTGTAATATTAGTTACTGTAAGATAACAAAATACTATGAAATACCAATCTCAGTATTAGGAACCAGCAACCATCTGAGAATTCCGAGAGATTACAAGGTTTGTCCAGTTATGGGGCCACCACACCCTTTTACTATCTTTTGGAACAACAAGGCTGTCAATGCCAAATTGGGATTAAACAATAATCAGCATATCTGTACGAGAAAATTGTTTTATTTTTCACTAGAAAAACAAAAGAATGAAAATAATTCTTGGATTCAAGGTTAGTTCATTTTCTTTCCGGGTTGGAATCTTTTTGGAAATCTTCTTGGATTTTCTTCTCTGCATTAACCATGGCAGTAACAGTTGTTCAGCTCAGCTACAAAGACATATTTCAGCTGTCATAATTCGAACATCGAATCTGTACTCCCAGATACTGTACTTTGTCAAGTTGGGTACAATAATTTTCGAAACTTTTACAGCAGTGTCGTATCATATCAGCCAGACCATGACAAATTCCTCGGACCTGTTCCACTGCATGAATCACATTTCATAACCAACGGTCTCAATCAGGATGTTTATATATTTAAAGGGAACATAACGTCTAACGCAGGCAAACTACACATAGTTCAAATTTTCATTTTGGCCTGTCATAACATCCTTTATTTTAGTTGCTTTCGATTTGCAGGGTGTCTAACTGTGTTCTATTCAAACATTGATGTGATTTTGATTCACAATGGAAAAGAAAATCGCATTAGAGTACAACATTTGATTGTGGGAATCACTCTAAAATACTCACAAAAACCTGCATTTAAAACTCTTAACCATGCAAAACTGCTGGAGAATCTGCTTACTCCGATGGTTTTGGCCACATTGGTTGCTTTCGTTTGCAGAAGCATATGCCCCATTTTTTCATGAAAGGGTGGTGCAAGGTGCATGATGCCAACTAGTTGATAGAAAAACATGAGTTGCAGTTTAAATGAGAGTTTGGATACCATGAATAGTTCTCACTTCTCACCATCCCCACATGAGCAAATGCAAAGTCAACATATCTGTTTCTTAGCAAGCTTGACAGTTGGAAGGGTTTGCAATCGCCAACCTGGCAACTTGCCCCTCCTGATCTCCTCACTTAACCATCATAGGCCATCTGAAACTATATTCTTGTCAAGGCTAGCTCCTATCTTATTTCCCTAATCAGCTAACTCATAACCAAGCCTTCCCTAACAAAAGAGCAACCAGCCAAGTTGTGCGTTAGAGGACCCATCCACGCCACCACTTTGCTTCATTTCTCACAGGGAACTAGATTGCATACTGTAAACTAGATCATCAATCCAAAGCAATGCCTTAGTTTATGTCATTTTACAGGCTTATGAAACTCTCTCAATGTTCTTGAGCAATCCTTTCTTTAACACGTTGCAAAAGCTCCACATAGGTTTTTAAGGACTCAGAAGTGAACCTTTCCATCGCCTCAAAAATGCGTTGCAAGCTCCCCTGCAAGCTATTGTTGCTAGTCTCACTCTGATACACAACATGTCCAGCTAGTGAGAGACTATTACCATCTCCAGAGACCAAAACAATTTTCTTATCTAATACTTGGATTTCTTTCTGTAACTTTTGATCCTCTCTATCCAAACTCCTAGCTCTTCTTTCTAAATCCTTATTGGCCATCATTCTCCGATGCATTTCTGACTTATCTTCTTGCCAATGCTGGAGCATACTCATAGCAAAAATTCGCATAGAGTCAACCACCTCTCTTTCAGATATTCCATCCATTGCTTGTGACCACTGATTACATATTACGAATATGGGGGGTGCGCCTATCCTACTTGGTGAGAAGGGCACTATTCCGTCATCTGTCACTTCAGGTTCATAGTAAAGACATTTCACAAGCCAATTATTCAAAGCCCTGACGTAACCCTTCTGCGCACCTATCCAACTAGAGAATCTTATAGTCCAACTAATAAGTTCATGCTCAAGCTGCGATGTGGCCTTAAGATGATCATCACTGAGTTTTTTGCCAGATCCAACAAAACCTAATGTTTTGGCTTCTCTAATCACTGTACACTGACTACGATGGCAGTCAAGCATACATTTCCACATTCTGTTTAACCTGGAAAAATATTTACAAGGAAACAACATAAGACAAATGTAAAAAAGATAATTGCAAAGGATTGACAAAAAATCACAAATTCAGTACAATCAAGGAAAAGAAAACCATGAAAAAACAACAACAAAAATCAAGTTAGCAAAAGCAAATAAAAAAAGCATGCAAGAGATTCAATCGGAAAGTAATTTGACATCATTATCTACAGAAATCATACATTTCTTTCAGCCGTTGAAGGTTTGTTTTACTTCTCAGGCCTTTATATGTTATATCCATATGACAACTCATAAGCAACATTTAACAAAATGTCCTTCTACAGCAATTAATTGGTATATGGCCGATATGGTCATAAGTCTTCCCACAGATTACAATTGTTAACATGATCTCAAAAAAGTGTATTTGAACTTGGTTTGTCATGTAAATTGTGCTAAAGTCTCACATACCTATTTATATGATTAGTGTTGGAAGATGAATTTGAAATACTTAGGTGAAAAGTCACTTTCAAACTAACTCCCTAGAAAAAAAAAGGGGGTAAATGATGCAATTTGTAGACTTAAGACTTAAAGAGTGATCAATATCTATTTTGCTATTTGGGTTAACAAAGGATCAAATGGCACTGGCTTTTTACAACTTCTAATAAGATTTTCAATAGATATAGAATCTCAAGCACTAAACCTGAAACCTAAATGAATAATCTTCCCAACATAGTAACTAGACATTTTAAGGCCAAACCCAACAACTATTTGAAGCCAATATTTCAAGAATCCACACAAAGAGAAAAAGAAAAAGAGGAAAAGAAAAGTATGATCTAACAGCATGTATCCTAATAAGCAACAGCTTGGCAGAACTTTTTGACTGGAGGCAGATTTGGTAGCTTCGTTTCTTTTTTGAACACCCCCATACCCTTTAAAGACCTCTTGGGCCAGTACCCATCACTCTTGACTGTACACTGCTACAAACTACAATGGGATATCTATTATAAAACAGCAACAACAAAAGATTCCCATGAAAAATAAAGCAAACCAATAAAGACAGCAATAATTAATCGGATTAAAGATGCTAATTAAAGAAATGAAATAAACACAACCAAATGGCAAGGCCAAAAGTAAGACAAAATCATGTCAACTAAATGTAAAATACTCATTTAAAAAGTTAAGACTAAAGAGCAATTTAAGCAGAGAATGCAGAATGAGATAGGAAAATGCAAAAAGTTAACAAGCAGAAATAATACCCTTCAATCAGTTCATTGAGCAGTGGCCATAGTTCCTCATCCCTGATCTTATTAATTGTTACAGATATCTTGTCAATAACTTGAATTGCAATTCCTATCTTCGTGGATAGATTCCTGATAATATTCCGGGTTGAATCAACTTTGTTAGCTTCTGCACCCCTTTCATCTAGTCGCTTCAACTTGCGGCATTTCCTGTCATAAGCTACCCGCATCTTCTCCTCATTCTGCATTGCATCCAAAACTTCTAGTAAAAGAGCATCAGAAAGATTACAGAACTACTAAAAAAAGGCGCAAGTGCTATTAATCCAGGGCATAACTAAGCCATTGTAATGCTACCAAAAAACTTAAGTCAAGATGATCACAAGGTATTCCTAAAATGTGAAATATAAACCACTAGGTCCACTACTATCCTATCCATAAAGAAGGTAAAAATGCAACAACATGAAGCCCTTCAAAGGTGAATACCTCAGAGCAGTAACTTTCAGTGAAACAGTTCCTTAAAAAGATATGAATCAAATTAAACTAAAACATGGGCAAGTATATAATAATAGATAATAAACATATTCTAACACAATATACAGGAATGAAAAGGACCAAAATTCAAACTAATATTAATAGCCACGAACCATATAGTTCATAATTCATACAGCATTTTGAGATAATCATGAATCTGAATTCCAAAGAGCAGATGGGTTAATGGTTGGGCACAAACAGATACCAAGTTGAACAACAAGCAACCTGTCATCAAGACAAAATATACCTTTACTTCATTGTAGAGTTTCTTTTCCCAAAGATACAACTTCTGCAAAGTGGAGGAAAGGTTTTTCGGTTTCCTGGCCAATTCTTCATTGAAGTCTAGAAAAGCTGGATCATTCTTGTCAGCCGAAGATGAAGACTCAGCAGTCTTAGAAGTAGATGGCTGAGATGACACCATTGATAATGAAGGAGTAACTACATGCAACATCTTGGAAACTGTTTCGAAAGATCCCAAAATCCACAGTTAGTATTACCGTTAGAGAAAACCCAATCTTTTTCTTCTTTCATGAAAAAAAAAAAAGAACACAATCTAATCAAGCTGCAAATCAAAAACCCATATTTATAGCGAAAATCAGTACTTTCCAATCCACAGACATGTAATTCATAAAATTCCTACAGATCAAGAGAAAGGACAAACGAACGAAAATCCTTACCATGTTTGCGCTGATAAGGAAGTATTCCCACCTCAAGTAACTTGGCAATTTCATTTCCTGACTCGGAAGCTCTCACAAACTGAACCAGTATCTCTCTAACCACCTCAAAAACATCCCTTGGAGCGGCTCCTGACCCGTTACCTCGCTCCTCGGCCCTCTCGTCATCCACAACTTTCTTATCCAACACATGAACCTCATATTCCACCCGATCATTTTCCATCCCAACACTCGGCCTCGTCTGATAAAGCGAAGCCTCTGCTTCACTACTAACAACTTTCCCATCCTCATCTTCAACTGGGGACTTCGAATACCCTCTGCTATCAACGAACTTCTGATCTCCCTGCACTTCTTTAACTACTTCATGTTGATAATCCTCATCTTCCAAATCAGGGATCCCTTCCTCTTCTCTCATCTCTCTTGAGTCCCTACTCGGCGTATACGGACGATGGTAGTTTTCATAACTCTCGAAAGGGTTCAAGAAATCCCAAGCTGAAGCTCTCGGAGGTGAAGGTGGAGGCGGCGGCGGTTTCGAGGATGATCCTGCCGCCGTCGACGACGGTTGCATTGAAGACTCATAACCAGGCAGCGAATAAGAAGAATCATTGCTAAAAACACCATAATTTTGCTTATCCGGATAAGGATATGAACTAGAACTAGGATTATTATTACTTACATAAGAGTAAGGATAATAAGAAGAAGATGAAGATTCACCCATATAAACTGTCTCTGGAATCATTGGCCTTTGTTCATAAACAATAGACGGCGTTGGTTGCTTCTTCATAAAATTCACATGCATAAACCCACCGGGAAAAATTCCATTTTCCAGAGCTCCACCAGCTTCATGCAAAGGAGAAGAATGGTCTGAACGGTGCAAAAACCCGCCAGAGTCATCTTCATCTGAATCAGAACGGAAGTGAAGATGAGACCCAGAACTCGAATAGGAAAGGTGGTGAGAAATAGCACCTTTTTGGGGTGAACTTGACCCAACTTCAACCGGATCCACCGCTTTACTTTTGAGTTTATTACGAGACGGAAGAGAAGGAGGCAACGCCCCTGAAGAAGTTCCAAAATCATGCTCGATGAAACTATTCAAAGCCTGACCAAATGACTTCAAAGAAGCTGTGTACGCAACATGAGCTTCCGCTAAAGCAAAACGTTGCTGAATCGCTTCATCTAAAAAAGTACATCTTTCCCGACAAAGAGCAACAGCCGGGAGATCATCTAACTTTGAACTAGAACATCCCATGTCTCCAAAAAACAAAAAGGACCCAACAAGGTTTGCTATCTGATTTAGATGAAGAAAACAAAAGGCATGATTATAGTGATTGCTTCTCGGGAAAACTTCACGACGAAATGAGAGGAAAGGAAGAGAAAGAAGGAATCTGTGCCAGCTCGGAGTGTGTCGTCGGGTTGTAGCAGAAAAAGAAAGTAAGCGAACGCTTCTCAACAGTGTGCTTTGTTTGTGAGTCGGTGGACATTAATGGTGGAACGTATTTTATTGTTAAAATAAAATTAAAAAATCAAATCAAATTCTCTTTCTTTTTTTTTTATTTTCACTTTTTAAAATAAGACAAAATTTTCATCATGACGTTATCTTTTCCTTTGTTTTATCACTTTTAACCTTCCATAAATACCCTTCTATTCAATTACAATTTAATTTAGCGTTTGGATGAATAATAAAATTAATTTTGATAAAATTAAAAATAATGATGAAAAAAAATTAATTATTATAATAATAAAATTAAAATTAATGATAGATATAAATGATAATAAGATTAATTTTAATAAGATAAAAATAATCATTAGAGATATTAGTTTAAAATTTATATATAATAAAATTATAAATTATTTAACTTATAAAAATTAATAAAAATTAAAATATATATTTTTATGATAAATAATAATTTGATTAATAAAATAAAAAAATAAAAAATAACAATAATATATTAAATATAAATAGTATTTTTATTTTATTAAATTATAATTATTTTATAATTTTTTAAAAAATTAAAATAAGAAAGAAAGAGAACAAGTCAAATTAAAAGGATAAAAAGGTTAAAAAATTTCAATTGTGTGTGTGTTGGCTGGACTTAAAACCTCCGGTGAAAAAAAGCTCATTTTTGCACCCAAGTTATACATCCAAACGGATGTTCGATGCGTTAAACATGGTTTTTCAAAACAAACACAACCTTATTGGGAGTACGCTTGAATCCAAATGCAGCTTTAATATTATATTACGAGAAAAGATCCCCTTATCTAAGGTTAAATTTTAAAAAAAATTATATATTTTTTAATAATTAATTTTAATAGATTTAAGTAAAAAAAAATATTATGGACTAAATCATAAATAATTATAAACTCAACAAAATACTAAATATATATATATATTCTAATTTACTCAATAAATTGCATTGAATTTAAACCTTAGATTATAAATATACATGTTTCATTTGGATGAACGATAAAATTAATTGCAGTGAAATTAAAAATAATAATAAAAATTATTATAGTTACGATTGAAAAAAGAATTATTATAAATGTGATTAAAAAAATTTATTAAAAAATTTATATTGAATAGATCTCATTAAAATTAATATTTGAATTCAACTAATGTTGTGATAAGTTCAATCACAATATACAAAAAATGCAATAGGATTCAAATGGAATGGGCACATAAAGAAATTGACAAATTGTGGTTAAAAATTAATTAGGTTGAAGAGGAATTTGGATGGTATAAAAAGAATTATCTTCTTTTCTAAATTGCAATACATTCTCTTATAGTGAAAATTAGAGCAGTTATCCCATGAAGGGAACATCTGGTAGTTTTTAAATATTTCTTAATCTGTAGTTTAGAAGGAAAGAGAAAGCTAACCTGACCATAAATAATTGAAGTTTATATGAAAGCAAACAATCCACTTTTCTTTCCTTTTTTTTTTTTTGCCAACTATCGAGCGTATTAATTTTTTTTATTTTATTGATTAAATTTTAAAATTTTATAATTTAAAATTAAAAACCCATATTTTCTTAAAATTGTAAGGCCAAGGTTGAGGGTAGTCTCTAAATAATGAATCCCTTCGATTTGGATCGTTTTTAATTCAATGGAAAATTCTCACTTGCATTCCTGCAACCTTCATTGGATTGGATATTTAGTTTAATGAGTTTTTAAATGTGCAATTACAAATTTGATATATGAAATTTTTAAAAGAGGAAGTAAAAAAAAAAAAGAAAGTGATAGCGTAAATACTTAAAGTAAAGTTGATATTTTAAAATAAGACGTGATGGTATGATATTAAGAATAATAATTTTTTGATCGGATTAGGTTTGATTTTTTTTATATTATATAATATTATGAAAATTAAAAATTAAATTTGAATTCAAACAAAATCTTTATTCGATTCAAACCGAATTGAATTAAATTTTATTGGTTTAATTCAATTCAATTTATCGATTTTTAATTTTTTTTAAATTTTTATATATTATTTTAATATAAAATTTTAATATATTTAAGTATATTTTGATATAAAATCATTATTTTTATTTTATAAAAAATTTAAATATATATAAAAAATGAGAAAAATATATAATTCGATTCGATTTATTTTTTTATTTTTTAATTTTTCATCTCTCGATCAAAAATTCGATCTAAATTTAATATATATTTTTAATATTTGAATTTGATCCGAATCGAATAAAAAAATAATCCGAACTGAATTGAACACTATAATTTTGAATTAATTTTTATATTTTTTTATTTTTTCTCATCCCTATATGACACATATATGAAAAATAAATAAATAAATAATATAATTTAAAATTTTAATAATAATTATATATGAATTTAATAAAATTAAAAATATAGTTTTTATATTTTTATATCTATATAAATTATAATAATATTTTTTTATAAAATAAAATATAAATATATAAATTTTAATATTTTATACTATATAAATATAGAAATTATCATATAAGATAAAAGGTGAAACAAGAATTCCCAAATTAAGGATGGGCCTACGAGACGTTGTTGTGCTTGTACTTCCTGACAATCAGAATTTTATAAACTTTGCACAGCAAAAGAGAAACCAGTTTGCTAAGCCAATCTTTGACAGATTCATGGCATATCTAGCTTTGTTTTTCACAAAAAAAAAAAAGGAAAAAAAAAGAATTGTTTTTAAATTTGTTATTTTTTAAAACATGATTGCATGAAACAATTGGAATATTTTTATTATGATTTCTACATTTAATTAAAACCTAACTATACGACCAAATATCCACTTCATCTACCCCTTATCACAACGGTTGCTTAACCATTTAATTTTTAATTCACATTTCTTTTGAACATATGAGTCTTGCCCATGTCAAAACAGGCATATCTGTCAAAATACATGGGCAATCTGGTCAAATACCAAAAAAAAAAATGTCAAAGACCAACGTTCAAATAACAAATAATTTAGACCTTCTTCTTCTTATTTTTGTATTAAACATTGGAATTAAGATGTCAAATGTTTGTAAAGTCACAATCAAACCATTGACTCATAGTCTTCTCAATTTCTTTCACGTTCAAAATACATCAAAACATAAGATAAATAATTAAGATAAGACATAAATTAATACCGTCTTCACCCCTAAATCTTTTTTTTTTGTTTATTTTGGAAAATAAAATAAAATAATCAAAATTTCGTGTTAAGAAGTTATATATAAAAATAGAAATATGTTTATATAATCATATATATATGTATATATGATCTGTATTTAATTTAGAAATTTTATCATCAGTGTTTGATTTACGTTTAGGACACCTTTATGTTGTAGTCACAGAAAATGGCAAACCTCCACTTTGAATTTTGCTTTGAATAATGATGTGGCATGGCATGGTTTGGGAACATATTCCAAAGTGGCATGTGCATGGCAAGCCAAACAACTATAAAAGAATTAAAAAAAAAAAAAAAACTAGGAAAGGGTGAGAAAAAAAATTAAGAAAATCAAAAATCAATTCAAAATTGTAGTGTTTGATTAGGTTTAGATCATTTTTTTTAATTTGATTTGAATTAAGTTTAAATATTAAATGTATATATTATATTTAGATTGAAAAGTGAAAATAAAAAAAAAATTGATTTAGAGATATATATTCTAAAATTAAAAACATAAAATATAGATTTTATTTTTTTAATAAATAATTTTAATTGTTTACCAAATAACTTTATTTAAAAAATTATTTAATTATCAAAATCTTTCAAATATTTTTAAAAATTACAAAAATTAAGTTTATCCAAATCTTTCAATAATATTTTTTATCTTGATTTAAAAAGTTTGATTTAAAAATTTATCTTTTTAAAAAATTTACGTAAAACATTAAAAATTCAAGTAATTTTATGTAAAATTTTGAAAATTCAAAAAATTTTCATCTTAAATCTTTAAATAATAAAATTATCAAAATAATTATATCCATTTGAACTCTAATTATCAAATTTATATTTCAAATAAATACCAAAAATTTAATATTATCTTTATCACTTATTATATCCATTTTAAAATTTTAAAATTATTTATTTATTCCTAATTGCCACTAAAATTTTTTTCTACAAATTTAAGATTATAAATGTAATGTGTTATACATCAATTTTTTTATTTTTTTAGTAACTCTTTTTTAAGATATATTATATTAATATTGCAATTTATTTATTTTTGTTTATAAATTTTTTTAAAATATATTTTATTGTTATTACAATTTAATTCTTATAAAAATAATTTTTTTCAATTTATTTTTCTTTTTTCACATAATTTCTAACGTTTTTCAAAAAAATTTTAATAATTTATTTGATATAATTTTACATGTGTATAATAAATATTATTGTAAACAAAAATGATTATAATGGAAATACATAATTTTTTTTGCAGTTTTTAGAAAGTTTAATTTTTAATGACAAATCAATAAATATAAATTTTATATATGTTATGAGTTTTAAAATTTTGAATATAATTTTAAAAATAAATTAATTTTTATATATTTATATTAAATAAATAAAATTATTTTTGTATATGGTACGAATTATAATATAGTTAAAGTTATATGAAAGCAAACAATCCACTTTTTTTTTTTGGCCAACTATCGAGCGTATTAAAATTTTTAATTTTAATGATTAAATTTTAAAATTTTCTAACCCATAGTTTCTTAAATAATAAGAACTTGACACGAATGGTATGCGCATGATCATTACAGTTATTAAACTGCAAGGATGTTAAAATAATAATAAAAAAAATTTGTAAGGCGAAAGTTGAGGGATAGTCTCTAAATAATGAATCCCTTTGATTTGGATCATTTTTAAATCAATGGAAAATTCTCACTTGCATTCCTGCAACCTTCGTTGGATTGGATATTTAATTTAATGAGTTTTTAAGTGTGGAATTCCAAATTTGATGCTCGATAATTTAAAATAATATATGATGATATGATACTAAAAATATTAACGTTAAAATTGAATTCGATTCAAATTTTTTAGATATTATATAATATTATAAAAATTTAAAATT